TGGGTGGGGGGGGGGTGTAAACGGTCATATTATTTGAAATCTGAGGTTGATCATAAGACCGTTTGGGAAATAAAAAGTGAAAATATACAAAAAAATTTGGTGTAACGGCTAATGAAGGATTCACATGCATTTAGCTTTATGATGTCCGCCTCGGTTTGCGTGTATCTCAACTAATTGTGTAGATTGGGTTGCTTTATCTATCAAAACTCGAACAGAAGAAAAAAAATATCGCATATAGTAATATATTGTTGTCTCCGTTGAAATTTGAATCAGAAACTTTATTTTCGGAATCATTTTGGGGCGGCAAGCAACAACGGAGTTAATTAATGACCTCCAGGTTTGGATGTGCACAAGTAGACACTTAAAATTATTATAAAGTTGAATCAGTAGACGCACAAGTCTTATGTTGCATAATGCACGTAGATCACCATGTAGGACAACAAATTATCACATACGCACTAAAAACGTGTGTGTCTAGTTATTCAATTATATACAAATTTAAGTATTTATATGTACACACTCAAAATTGGAGGGCGTAGATATCAATTAAGTAAGTTAAAAGAACATTTTTATGTAATATGCTATAATATATATTGTATCCTCTTAAGATTGTGTATATATACTCTTTTATATTTATATTTCAAAGTTCTGACTTTGACACCATGTGTAACATGATGTAGATTTTATATGAATCATTTGACCATTGACTAATTCATATGCATTCTCACTTTTTTTTTTTACTTTAAAGTTGTTTCTACATTTATATGTTTAGCAAAAGTGGAATACAATTATTGCAAGAATATAGTGTTCATGAGGTTATATTTATCTACCAAAGTTATTCTCAAACATTTTCATCTTAACATTACTCATCATTCAATTTCATAGTTTACTAAGATTGATTTTGTAAATAAACAGTTACGTATTTGAATACTAATATTGAAACTATAATAAAACCAAGGATCCCCAATTAAAACTCTGAACATAGAAACCACCCTAATAGGGAGTGCTTCTGTCTTAAAAGGGTTTACACGATACAAATGGATTAGTCAACGCCTCAATGCAGGTACCGAACAACAGATGAGAAACTCAGAAATTAAAAAAACAAGATAAATAAGCACTTGTTTTGGCAAGAAAGTGTTGATGAACATTTTTTTCTGATAAAAGAACTAAGATGTCCACAAAATATCTGTACAATGTTTCCATGTAACACCTTTTCTCAATATAGTCAAAATTTATGAACAAAAACTGGAAAATTTTCTCAAGCCATTTTGCTTTGAACATGTCGATGGATATGTACCAGAAACTCGACATACGAAAGTCCAATGGATGTCTTGTCTTCTACCATGTTGGAGAAAAACAACATACCTGAGTACAGAATTTACAAGCATGTAAGAAAACAGTACAAGAATACCAAAGAAGAACAATCGACAAAGTTACTCAAACACATCTTTGTGTTTTAATCTGTACAACTTTTGGTATAGATGATCATCTTGAAGTTGGTTGTTCAAAAGAATTACGTCAAGTTGATGCTCAGGCAAAAGGATATGCCATACAAAATCAATGATCGATATGAATGTAGCAAAGGAAATGATCATCTCAGCTTTATGAGGGTAAACGATATCCCTCCTTAGGTATCATGATGATAAAAAAGTGAGTTACTGCAGATGGCTGAGTTTGTTTTATGTTATTGTATGATCGAGTATGAAGTATTATGCATCCAAGAATAGGAGAGTGCAAAAAATATTGATTTAAAAGCATCGATATCTATGTAGATCATCCACATAATATGGTAATTCAACCCATTTCCCCTTTAGAAGTGTTTCTTTTTGTTTGTTTCCTCTTTTTTACCTTTTTTTTTGTGGCGGGAGAAGGTATAAAGATGGGTTGATGTATTACAAACCTGATGAGTCTCCCTTTTTGCATAGCCTTAAGCTGCCAAGATCAAAATAAAAACACATATTAGAAATACAACATACAAAGTGATAACATACTAATCAAATGAATGTCCATTTTGATTTACAAGTAACCGAGATGGACCTAGCGACATTTTTTAAGAGTACGAGCAACATAGCAGCTAAGACAACAGGAGTGAAAAGAAGGGCAGCAAAAAAGAAACATCATACCGGAGATAGTTACATCTTTGGCGTCTAATTTCATTAATGATATCGTTGAGCTTCTTAGAGAGTGGATTGTCATGCTGCTGCAGAACAAACTACAGAAAAAACAGAGGCAATATGTCAAATTTGACAGTGTTTTTACATCTAAAGAGAGAAGACACGCCAAATCACCTGTGCAGGAACTTGTTCAACAGATGAAATGCCAAGCAGTTGATGCATAACACTAGGATCTGCAGAGTTACCAACATAAATTAAACAGTCCTCGCCATTCTCTAGAAGATAGATACCGTTGTCATTGATATATTCACTGGAAAGTGGAATAGGATGAGGAATAAGAGATTCCTCGTTCTCCTGCAAGTTCAGAGACAAAAAGTGAAAGGTAAGAAATAAATATTGAAATGGATCAAGAATGAATTACCAGTGAACTTGTCTGTGAATAACCCCTACCTTTGTATTGAGTTCATGAATGGCTATCAATCTAGGGTGCACCCAAGGGATAGCAAATGAAACAGACAGTGGGGAAACAAAATTAATCCAGAAGGACCTAGTATCAATCGGTCCATCAGTTCGCAATCCCGTGCTTTTAATCAGAGCTGAAATCATCAGGAAGACTTGTGTGAGTAGATCCATTTAACATTATCTTTTGCACAACATGCACTTCTTTCAAGAACAAGGTTTTACAGTAGCAAAAGGAACTACAGTTGGCATTTCGAGATGCAACAAAACAAAAAAAAAAAAAAAACTCATTCAACATGACTCTGTAGCTAAGCACACACCCAACTATCCGTTAGATGACAAAAACAGGGTGATCATTCATCTATGCAGACTTTCTTGAGACTACTTTCTTCACTATGTTGAACCACAAGTGAATCATCAGTTGCTGCCATAGCCGTTAGCTACAATTGTATATAATGGACTAACACAAAGATGACTAATTGCTCCTCCAACTGGAAAAGCAGTAAAATGTGGAGCATGGACATTTTAATTAAGATATCAGAAAATAAAAGCAGAAAAGAGTAAAATTGAATAATAAACTGTATGGATAAATCAGCTCCATCAAATAATTGGGAAATGAAAGGCTTGGCTAAAAGCAGTGCAACACATACCCAGTGTGTAAAGCGGGAGAAGCTTAAGTGCCTCAGCAAGAATAAGCTGTCCAGAGGATGAGACAGTAGCACAGAATTTACGATAAGAGTATAGAATGTTAATGCAATGGTTTGTCACGTGCTCTCGGATTTGTGGGAGAGGTGCTGTTGGAACTTCACTGGCCGCTGCATGGAAGATAAAAGCTCTGTATGATTAGAATTAAACAAAAAAGAAGCAGAGAACAAAGAAGAATAAACATTAGGTAATAGTGAGTGGTTAACTTTAATACACAAAAGTTAGGGTACAGGGAGGAAGATGTGCTGCTCATGCTGGAATAATATAACTGGCATCCTTCTACATAAAGATTTAATATAGTCACTACTTTCCCAAAGAAAATACTTGATCTAACACGCTACCACATTCTCATGGTATGCTCCATCGAACTAGATTACCGAACAACAATTTCACAGTATGTGCAGATTGGTTAATTTTATCAATCACATTACCAAGTAAAAAAAAAAAAAAAAAAGCCAAAAGAAGAAGAAGCAAGAAGCCATGGTCACAGAGTGAAAACCCAGAAAACATCAATTCCTGCTTATCCAAGCAATATCAACATCTCTTCTTTTACTTTTTCCTGCACTTTAGTTGTCTCGGAATTTTCTTCAGCATGGATTCCCAAAAACATCGCACCCCAGCTACTAGGTTCGATGCATCCATCTGCACAATATTCATAGCATAACCATCTAAGAAGCACAGAATCAATAGAAGAATGGATGAACTATAGCAGAAATCATAACATGCAATTCGCACCTAAGGACAAAAATATGCTTTAGTTGATTGGCTGCAGTTTGCTTTAGTTCCATGGATTATTTAAGGATTTGCTGATGTGCATTTGAGAAAGGTGCATGCACAGATGCAGCCATCCTTTGGCAGTAAATAAAGACATAAATATTGGAAGAACTTTCACAGCAAAGTTAATCTTGCAGTAAGTAGGAAAAAGGTGGAGGCTTGCCCCCTTGCACGAACATAAACAAGGACCTTTAATGTTTAGGTAACCAGCTTTTTTACACAGAAGTGAAAAGGTAGGTGCAGAATAAATTGTACTTGAGAGACATGCCTACTTTATGATATAGTATCACCACCTTGCTTTAAGATGCACGCAAATTGGGTATCCAAGTCAGCTGATCGAAACAAATCACTAAGCATAGTGGTGCAAGGCAGAGAGAAAGTTGAAATCCTGATTCTTCTTTGGCCATCGATGGTGGTGTAAAGAAGAGCACACTGGAGACATGGAAAAAAGCTATTGTAAATGACCACCAAACTGCAGCTGGGAAGGGGAAGAAAGGTTGGGGAGGGGAAAAGAACAGGAACAGTGCAAATATAAGATAGACCAAACACCCATTGTAAAGAAAAATGAAACGTGAACCATACTCAACACCAAAAGCTATCTCACGATCAGGATTGTCTAACACCATTTAAAGAGACCACAACTCATTCCTTCAACAAAGGTGAGACATCCCCCTCCCCAGGATTAGATATTTGGAGCATGAATAACATAATATGAGGGCTCAACATGGGTAAATACAACAAGGATAAGTCTGACTCTGAGACCATTTTAAGAAAAAGAATCCTGGATCTGACTCGATCGATAAGCTGCTCAAGAGGTGAGTAATGTCCAAAGCCATATGAAGAGACTACAGACTATTCCCTCAACCATTCTGAGACACTCTTAACAGATATAATTGAAGACGGACCACCAATCTGTAACCTGAAAAGAGCATTCTGAACCATCCTGCAATTTGTCGTCATGCTTCAATGTTACCATTATTGTTTTGTCACAGTCAATCTGCACCACAGAAAGCTATGTTAGGTATGAACACATTATATTCAGAAATCTAAGTCAGACAAGCACGTAACAGCAATTGAGGGAAGGAACATACATACCCCATCTGCACACCATAAAGAAAAGGCAAAACTGCATACAACTATACTATTAAAATAAGCTGCAGAGAAAAGGAGGTTTTCCAGTATTGCGGCAACGAAAGTGAAGAGTCCGCGCAACTTAGATTCTACTTCATTTTAGAAATCACATCATTGAAATTAGGATATGAATACAGCGAAAGAATATAGAGATTTTATAAAGCCAGCCCCAACTGATGTGAAATTAATATCAAATCAATAAATGATTGATTGAGTTATTAACATGTAGAACATGGATGAGGTCTGTCCTTAATGAATTAGAACCTAATTACAGACAGGCCAGTAAAGAAAGTTAGAGGTTTGTTTTTGGGTGATAAGATGAGTGAAAAGACAGGATAGTGTTACGAGCCTATAGAACAGATATTAAAAATGTAACAAGAGAAAAATTCGCACATGACTTTGGAAATTACTTCTTGTTCAAAATTTTGATGCAATGCCCATTTTATAACCTATTATAGCCAACCCATTTACTCATTTTGCGACCTCTAATGCTCAAGATTATACGATACATTGGTGTTGACTTGAGTTCATAAAGTTGTAAGCACTATGAGAATTATCTCCCAATATCTGAAAACAGTTTTCAGTATGGAATGACACAGAAAGGAGTGTTAAGGTCTTCACTTAGATATGACTCAAGAAAATAGACCAGAAATCAGATAAACTCAAATATCTTATGCAAGTCTTAGACAAACTCAAAAGATCTGCCAGGGATATTTTAAAGGCGGTATATATATGGCTAATTTAATCTTTTTCACGTGTCTACTGTATTTATCATTGTCCAACTATGCTAGTTGTTCTGATCCCTTTTTCTCAGAAAGTGCATAAAGTATTCCCAGGAGAAAGGAGGTAGAGAAACAAACCGCAGGCAAGTCAACATCTGATGGAATTCGTTTACAATAATTTCCGGAGTACTCGTTAACTTGAAGACCCTACAAAAGAAACAAATCCAGCATGAATTTTGCACTTCTGTAGTCATCAATGCACTATGTTGCTGCTGAGCTCAGAAGAATCCAGAAAACAAGCAAGAATACCTGACTGCATCTTACACGCATTACTGCCTCAAGCCCTTGGGGCCTAGTAATGTTCCATCGCAGATCATTGTAAAGCTTGGCAGCATCAGAAATAGCAGAGAAAGGGAAATAGTAGTACAGCTGAAATAGGAGGAAAAATTAAGGTCCAAGCCTTGACATAAGTCGACTATTACAAATGTTTATGGTGCTAGAACATTCTGGAGAAACACAACCTAGAATTATATGTAACTCCAAACTTACCTGTCCTCCAGTAGTTTTAGGAATGACAGAAATGGAAGCTATGTCTACATATGATTGTGTTGTAAGAAACACATCAACACAAACCTGAAGGAGTTGAGATCTAATCAATCAACAGGGGTAGGCAAATGAATTAAAACATATCTAACGACATTCAGAAGGTATATAGCTACGTGTAATGAAGAACTGTTCCAGAGGAAGAAGGTGAAAACTCACCTGATACTCAGCAAACTCGATAGCCATTGTCTTCAGGGTTTTGTCTGCTGGTTGGAGTAATTTGTGAGCCTCCTGAAATTCAATTTATATACAAGAATTTTCTGAATAAATTTGGTTCTCGAGAAGTCTACTAACTACTGTGACAAGACAAAGCGGGTGCCGGACACTGGGCAGGAAACCAAAAAAGTATTTCTATGTCGACACCTTGACAGGCAACGGACTCTTAACACTTGTGTCATACATTACCTATTTGAATCCTACACTAATGATTGTGAGAGTATGATGGACATGGACTGCAGGATAAGTAGTGGAATGCAGTTATTGACTTCCTTTAAGAAATGGTGAACACATTATATGCAGCGACAACCCAAATAAGTGATAGCGTATGTGAACTAAAATTCAAGAATCAAGACTACTTGAGTGAAAAAGTGTATATCAACTTCTGAACAATCTAGAAGAGAAAGTGAGAAACAGATGTGATTGTCTGAACCAGCTGCCTATTGCCTCAAAGGAGAAAGGTCCAAAATAGAAAATGTAACAATTTTACCGTTTCAGCAGCTGATACTGTGCTTCTTCCTTCAGCCTCTCTAGCAGAAAGGGCTCCAACACCAGTAGAAGGCAAGACTATAACACGGAGCAAGTATAGTGAACTCATAATGTTATAGAACAATTTACAGACATTAAATACCTAGCACATGCAAGACATAATTTACAAAATGTATAACATCATTGGAATATGTACTTATCAATGCTGAAGGTGTAGAGACAAAAGAGGTACTAAGAGTTCCCTGCAAATAGTTTCTAGATCCCCAAGCTATGATCTATGCAATTGGTCGTTAGGTTGTAAAATATATAACAGAAACACTACGTGGTTGCTACTTAAACAAGTTTTAATCACTTCATAGATCATAAACAAATTGAAAGCATAACCCTGACCTTTAGAAGTTAGATTAAGGGGTACTACAGGTCCAATGGGTAAACTGTAGAGTGGTTTATTCATCAAGTCTAAATAGAAAGAGATGAATTCCAAATGAAAAACCATCATCAAATGTTGATTCATTCAAGCAGGAGAGCTACGATAGAAGTGGGTTTAGCAAGAGACCCAACAATAATATCAATATCCTCTGAGAAAGTTTAAGTGTAAATGGTTCAACAAAGAATTCTATAACAAGCCTCCTTGGTTCTGTCACTCACATGCTCCGTTGCTTAGTCGGACTGAATTTAAAACTAGGGTCGGGAGGAGCAAAAGTGATTTTTCACTTCCAATTGATTGGATAGGAAAGTAACAGGTGACAGTAGGAAAGTACACTTGATAGACGGTAGATCATACTACCTACTCTGAAACCTCTTACATAAAGAAAACTCCATGCGACAATCAAGAAGCCTTTATCACCAAGAGTGAGTTTTTCCTTTCGTGAAATTAGGAAAATAAAACAAATTTGTTTTGTCTTAGGTATATAATTTGAAATTTAAATATAGATAATAGAGCTTTGTATCTTTCTCTATCTCCTGAAAAAACCATTTAGCTAACCTATATTCCTGATTACGAATCAAGAAACCTTTATCACCAAGAGTGAGTTCTTCCGTTCGTGAAATTAGTAAAATAAAACGAATTTGGTCTTGTCTTAGGTATATAATTTGAAATTTAAATATAGATAATAGAGCTTTGTATCTTTCTCTATCTCCTGAAAAAACCATTTAGCTAAAATTCATGTTCATGTTGGATCAGATTCGAACGAATCTTTCAATAATCAGGTAAAAAACTCTGTATCTATTTTTAGAAAATTAGAAGACAAGAACAAAAGACAAAGGGGGTCCTTGCTGATTCACACGGAATTCCACGTTCCCCATGCTACTCGGGTCAGAAACTGCAGCAGTGTATATCCATACCGTTCATGTCGCCTATGAGTATGTACATGTGATACAAGGTTCATTATATTTAGTTATTTACCTGATTGAAATACAAGAAGTTTCCCTCCGGTGTTTTTCATTGCCAAGAAAGCAGCCTAAAGTAACAAGAAGAAAATAACAAAAACAATTAACTCATTATTCCAGCATTATTTGACTTAAATTACTTACCCGCATGCAGTAACACAATAATGGAATTCAGTGTTCGATATATCATTCACTAGCCTTAAATCTTCTTTATTTCAATGAGCATGCATGAAAAATATTTCTTTTGTCTAAACTACTAAATGACATATGCTACATGAATTATGCCATAAATTGCTAATGAAGACCGAGTCCCCAGTTGCTGACAATTGACTGTGGCATTCCATGCAATGAAACTGTCAGTCAATGACGTATTCGTTGCCAAGGTAGATCTTTTTCTTTTCCTTTCAAGATATTGTGTATAAAGAGAAAGATAGTCAGTCCTCTTGGGCAGCCGAGTCGCTTATCCGGAGGGAAAAACTATGCCCCTTATAACTTCTGTTGACAAACTTAAAGAGACAGGACACAAATAGTTCCCTAATAAACTTGCTAATGCCAACAGTCACTCTCTTATGACGTGGTTAGAGGATACCTCCTAGCTTTCCTTTGGCATCCGCTGGCATCCATTCAGCCATATATTACCCTATAATCCAGGAACCATTTCCTTGTGGAAAAACTAAATAAAATCCTGGAGCCATTTCAGTGCTATGAAAGCAATAGGTTTGTCGCAAAAAATGTCTGAGCAATGTAAAACCGCAAACTTGTTCGGGGTTAAAAAAGTTTAACCTTTAATGATTTATTTTCTTCTTTCTGTTACTAAGTACTTTGGTCACTGGTTATCAAAAACTAAGTACTTTATTCCATTATCCTTTTGTAATGAAAAAAGTATTCTCCTTACTCTCCTTAAAGTTAGCTATTAACTTCTTTTGAAGATACATGTAGCTTTCTAGTGTGTCAGATTTTCTATTTGAAATGCGTATTCATACCTTGACTGCAGCACCAAAAGCTGAATCAGCAGTCCTGTTATGCCCGAACATTGTTGGGATGTTTTCTAGGAGAAGCTCTAGATGTTCACGACACTGGAAATGTAAAAATTAACAACTTCCACTGAGAATGACTGATATGTTTTAGTCATTTTCTTTCAGTAAAAGGAAAATGAAAAAAACAGGAAGTCAACATTTTGCAGGACTAACCTCTGAGAGCTGCACGATAACATCACGCTGAAGGGGAGTGTAAACATCTTGGACATCAGGGACAATAAGCATCAATGGCTGCAAACACAGACTCGGGATCAAAAACACAGATTCTGGATGAAATGAGCATGCACTTTTACTTCAAAGTAGATCAAACCACTTCCACAATCTTAATTTGCAATTGGTATCGATATTAAATGTAAAAAAATCCATCATTTCTTAATGAAATAAATTAGTTTACACATACCAATAAGAGAAAACCCACTCCGAGATGCGTAAAAAGGTAAGAAGCAAAAGAAGAGAATAGAAAAAATAAAAGAACACTATCATATCAGAAACAACTAGAAGTGAAATAGAAAGCAGAAATTCCCAAGAAGAACAAACACGGAACTGCATAATCAAGTACAATGGAGCAGCACTACCGGTTAAGGGCAACCAGAGCAGCTGAGGAATAACTCCTTCCTGAATACTGGAAAATATTCTCTTATAACGAACCTATGAACTACCATTAGACAAGATAAAGAGGAAAAGGAATAAGGCCATTTTATTCCTTTCTGAAACTACTACACTCCTTCACAATCTGTTGGCTAGATTTTTATATTATTTATACAAAATTTTGATGATCTGTTTCATTTATAATTTACCAGAAAAAATGAGAAATGTATTCAACTAAAACCTATGGCTACATTTACATAGAATCTAACAAGTAATCATTTTTGAAAAGCTGCAAACACTTCGTATCCAGATGTCTTTCTACATCTAATTTCCTGACTGAAAGTAATTGTGAGTCGTCATACACGTAAGAAAGAGAAAAATACAGATACTTAGTGATTTCGAACATTGATACCAAAGCATGTTTTGTTTAATAGGAACAGTAGCTATATCTTGCAGGGTAAATGAAATCCCAATGTGTAAAACCTGCTGCAGTGCACGTTTTAGATTGTAAAAATGGATAGTCGAGTCAAATGTAGCAATTCCGATCAATGTTCGAGGACCTTCCTGCAATAACAAGTTGCCAACATCAGGGACAGCTCATATACTCTCTCCATAAATGCTGTGCATTAAAATCCAAACCAACCATAATAAGGCATAACAGATCAAATAGCAGAGTATCACGATCAATAACTACCATAAACTCGATTAACCCATCCTTTGACAAGAAAAGATAATGTCCTGACCACTTGCCTAATATCTTCCCTCGTACTTTTAATTAGATGAAGAATTTTACCAAATCAAGATCCAGTGAATTGATTTGGGACGAATGACTTGACTTGGTGACAAACTGGGTGAATTAAAACACATAACTTGTCTCTATGTTCTCTCAAAGAACTCTCCTGTGTTAAGGGCTTGAGGCTGCTGCTGGAGTAGCCAGTGGCTCTTTGGTGATAGCTGCTAATTGTCCGTCAAAAATAATTAATCAACTATACTTTCCTCTCAAAATGACCTGAATTCTCCAACCATTAGTAATATCACCTACTCATGAGGTTCTTTGCTGAAACACCTCCCTTCCCCCATAAAAACCAACTAAGGCCTACATTAGACATTCTGCCCTACAAACCAACATTACCAGGACATCGTCCTTACAACAACAAACTGGAAATTCCTAAGTCAAAAAGCTCATAACCGTTGTCACGATCCCAAAGGATGAAAAGGCAAAACTAGCTGCTTGAACACTAACATTAAAACTGAACTTCCAGTTACGTCAAGAAATACAGTATGGATGAAGTTGTTTTGTGAGGATCTCCATTCGAAAAGACAGAAGGCTGTTTTATAATATGTCTTTAATGTAAGGATATTGCCAATTGTAAATGAATTAAATTACCAGTAATTAAAACAGACTTACAGGAAGATCAGAAATGACTTGGCTTATCGCACTGCAAGCAGCTGCAGTTGCACCAGTTTGTATGGCATTCATGGAGACATCAATAAGGAAGAAATATACAGCAGGCATTGGCTCACGCACCTGGATTTGTTTCCATGTTATCACTTAGAATCAAAAACATTCCAGCATCTATCAAGGAAACTACTCCATCAAGAACAAGAAGTGCATACGTTTAAACTGCTAGCTGAGATAAACAATTATAACAAAGAGTAGTTTTGTCTAAAATCATGAATTATTTGTCAATAAACAATTCTCTGTTAAAATAGAGTAAAATGTGTTCAAATCATCACCACCACCAATCTCTTTTACTGTCAATGCCATCTTGCAAAAGTCCAGGACCAGTAACTTGACAAATCAGCCACAGTGTAATATATATCCCTTTTCCCTTCCCTATACCTTCCCTCTTTTCTCTCTCCACGAAATTATTTGCATTAGTTTGAATATGTGCAAGTATTACCTAAAGAAATACATAGAGAAGAACTGTTTCCCCACCAAGAGTAACGAAGAAGATAAAAAGTTATTTAAGATGATTATTGGTACAATCCTCAGTTCCTCTAAAATAGGTTAAATTAGCAATAGAACAGTACATACATACTAATGAACTACTGCTGAAAAATATTACATTAGCAAATGGATATGACGTACTAGGTGATGTGCAAGCTTCCCTAAATATCAAAACAAATCTACATAGCATTCAGAAACTCTTTGTTCTCTTGAGTTAACGATAACCCTTTGCTTGGAGTTCAATTTAAAACTGATTTCTACTTCAATAAATTCATCCAATCATGCCACCTAATCAAGGTGTGCAAACTTGAAATGTAAATCTTCAATAAATTTATATAATATTAAAGTCCACCAAAGGTCACCAACCATATATTCCTTAGTAGCTACAAATTCAACAGTTCCTCGGCATAGTTCTGGCCTTTCATCAGCATCTCTACGCCTGCCATCTGGACCTAAGTTGCAGTGATAATCCCGAGGAGTTTCATCGGTATATCCTGCAAAAAGATGTCAAGCATGTGGAATTAAAACTTCAGAATTTCATTCAAACTTCAATATTTGGGAATTGATAAGAGTTTTCATGTTCACTGTTTTAATTAATCAGTTGCAGCTATTACGTGTTTCTTAGGTTTTTAGGATTGGTTGCACAATGAAAAGTAAAATGCACAGTATTTGATCATGAAATCAATTGTTTCCTGCTAAATTAGAGTTATCTAGAAGGAAAAGTAATTTTGGAAACAAGACACAACTTAAGCAGTTAATTGAGTGGAAGCAAGAGAAATCACTAGATTATTCTTTTTCCATAGTTGTAACCGTAATAGGAAAAGGTACACTTTTCATTCAAGCATTCGGAGAAATAGGTGGATTCCTTGACAATTTCCTCATCACTGTTCTCTAGTGTTCTGCTGCTGCGTTGCTCATTCCTTTTCCTAAGGGTAGACCATGTCCAGACTTTGTTTGCCCTGTCCTTAAAACTCAATGTTTCGTTCCATCACTAGATCACTTTTTCTATATGGACCTTCTACCACTACGTCATAGCAACAATATAGGGAACCAGCCCTCCTGATGTTCTCAGGATATGGCAATACTGTTTACCAGCCCAAAGTAATACTTGGATAAAATTTGTCATCTTTCCCTCCTCCCTGAATAACTTGCACTAATATAGAAACAATCAGGCCAATAAATATTGCACCAGTCCAACCACCAAATAACTCTCAAACATCAAACCAGTCATTGGACTTATCAACTTCTGCTGCCAATATTTTCCAGATAAACATATTGCCAAATATATGCTTAACACTAGAATCAATTTTCTAACACTAAATATGCTCAGTTGATAAATACAAACATTCTTTAGAAATTTATTAATAAGACAAATTCAAGCAGAACTTAGCCCTCAGAACATGAAAATTCTATGTTTCAGTGTTTGCCATTTCACATCCTATATTTCCTATAAGTTGTCCAGCACACATGTCAGACTCGTATCCTTGTCTGAGTCTGTGTCCATGTCCCCTAGAACTTCAATTATGATACAGTAGATGTCATCAAGAAGCGGGCTCTAAACTCTAAGTATCACATAAGTTTGGTGAAAGGGATTCATTCATACCACATAAGTTACAAATGAAACGCCTTCCCTGATCAATGAACTTCATAAAAGGATTTATGTAGCCTTTGCAGCGAGAGCAACGAACAGGACCACTTTCCCCAAAATCAACAACCTATCAAACAATCCAACATGTCGTGTGAGAAGAAGGTAAAGACACCAATACAAGTATCATTTTCTCACTTGAGGTAAGCTACCAGAACCCAACCAAAGCTTTTTTATATAAATAAAGGTAATGTAAGAACCCAACCAAAGCTATTTTCCTCCAAAATAGTCACAATAAAGAGTAAACATAAATGATAAGTATGTAAGAAGCATACTACATTCATCAGTTAATACTTCACAAGTCCACAAGGTATACCTGCAACTCAACCTTATCCTATAATAGTCACAAAAGAACAGGGAAAAACCACCCTACTGCACCTAGGAGGGTTGTAGCTCTCTGGATTGCACCTTCTGAAAAATTACTGCTTGTAGCACTTAAACATAATCTGAACAAGAATATATCTAGGACAAACTTAAAACCATCTTGACACTATCAATGCAATTCATCAGCAGTCAGCATCCCATATGAAGCTATAGAGTAGCTCAAGATCAATGAACATTCCCTAGAATTTACATCCAACAGCTAGCTTTGACAAGAAAGCTAAGTATTTACATTCATCAAATAAGTAGCTGAGTTTAACTCCAAACTCAGGAATGACCGCAAAATAGTGCAAAAAGGTCTTTATGGCCATCCATCTGCAGTCAGGAACCATTATGGAAAAGACAAAGCAATAACGAGTAAAAGCTCATTTTTCTGTTTAATACAAAGCTACAAAACATTGTCATCTATTAAATGCAGTGGGCGCATATATCATAATATAGTTGTCTGTCTCATGGATAAAATGGTACAGTATATCATAATTTGCAAATTTGTACTTACTTCACAGAACAAGATATATTAGCCTTTTGAAATGCAAAATTCAAGCTATACACATTATCATCTTATCTCTTGCAATTCTTTAAGAACTTCTGTGTAAAAGAACAGCTCCGAATACTTTTTCTTTTTGTTGGTAACGGTGAGGTCCAAGTCAGCTTGCTCGCACCTAGACTATACCACCAGGTACCTGTTACCTCTCACCAATACGTATCGAGTAACTTTGTCTAGCAAGGCTTAGACAGTCACAAAGAAATCACCTAGTGTATTTGTCTATGTTGAAAATTAAACCCTAGCCTCCAAGGTTTGCACCCACTTCATTGACCACTACTAGAACAATGAAAATTATGTCGAATAACAAATTAATGTTCTCCTTGGACATCAAAAGATGGAAATCTATTCTTTTTGTTATGATTTCTAACATACATCTAGATGGCAGAAGCCTAAAAACAGGAAACAAGGTAAATATGAAATATTTGGCAAGAACTATAGCTCCGTCTCAGACAGTAAATTTAGAATGTTTACAAGAAGAAAAGGTGAATTACTTGAATGGGCTGTTCAGATGGATGAGGAAGAGCCAAGGGTTGGACCAACAGAGACAACTGCATTGCAGAGGTCGTCAAAAGGTCACTGGTGCATGGAATCTGTAGAACAAATAACAAGGACCCAATCATCTACAATCAGTACTCATGTTCAGATGGAATAGTAATGGTCAATAAGCTTGCTCTTTCAAGTGGAACAGGAAAAGGTATAAACACACAAAATTGATTAGATGGAATATTATGTACAGATATCAAAATAATGTGAAGAAGATCAGCACCTGATTGACAGTACACCTCATGAACCGTGGACTGCAATTTCCAGTGTCCCAAACAATGTAGTCACTGGTGGCAGGCTTCAAGGGAGACAAGGGAAATAGAAGGATATTAGAAAAAGAGCAAGGAAAAGAAACTTCAACTATTATGAACCTTTTCTTCTTTTTTTCTTATAGTTAACTTATATATCTATTTCTAATGCACTAGAATTATTATTTAAAGAAAAGCATAGCTCATAGCTGAATAAACACAACCCCTGGAAACAGTAAACAATACTATGAAGAAAAACAACTTCTTTCCTGCAATGAAGAAATAATTTACCGGAGGGGGATTGGCTTTATTGCCTTGACGAGTTTCATGCAAGATTACTGCAGAATTTGGAATTGGACGCGGAATTTGACTGGAATCAAAGTTTGATTGCCCAGTTAATGCAGATCCAGCATGACCCATAGAAGGAGTTATTGCAGCTTCTGCTTGATTTGAATGCAGAGACGTCATCCCAAACATCATAGGTGGTTGCATCGAACCAGGGACAGCAGAAAGTGGAGCAACCTATAAAACCAGTAAATTCAGCTTATGTACCTCACATTAAAGTGGATATATAGTACACGACGCATAACAAAAGACAGAGAAGTACAAAAAGCATACTGGAACCCATCTACTTGATCCAAAAACTTAGTCCTCGTGATTTTAGGATTTCAGAAGGAACAACGAAGAAAAGTACTTTCAAAAAGCACCACGTTTATAGGCGTTGCTCTTTGTTTTCTTTTTTTCTTTTTTTTTTTTGCAGAAGATCACTATGCTACTTCTGATTACATAAGGGACAGGTTGATCTTTAGATTCTTTATAGCATCACTTTTCTTTCTCTAACAACTTAGGCATTAAGATGAAATTGCAACACACTTCAACATAGGTATCAATGCAGGCCTCCTACATTCGAGTCACACTGCTATGCTACACAATTATCAAAAGAATTTCCACTTACTTGGCCATTAAAAAGTTTCAGAGTGGCCATGTTTCGGCTGCCAGGACCAAAAAGATGCAATTTTTATGTTTATAAAATCCATTAAACTCGTAATTCTCCTGTGATAATGATCAAACAAAAACAGAAGGGGCGTAGACAACTTATATATTATCTTTTTAACTCCCTAGAGCTGTAATCTCTTTGTGATGGATTGTTGATTTTTAAAGTGTAAATAAAAAGGAATAATAAGTGTCCTATGAATTGTTCTTTCATTACATCTATCTCTAAGTTTCACATGTTACGCTACTAGACTTTGCAAATAAATTAACTATGAATTGTCTGAACGCCATGATGCAAATTTTGTTTCCTTCAATAAGATAAGAGTTGTTACACTAATTTCAGGAAAGACAGAAACTTCTTACCTTAGAAGTACAATCACAATATGATAAGCATATTTTACCTGATGGGGCTGTGTTTGCCATGTTTGCATTCCATAAGGAGCAACCATAGGAGGAGGCATCGCTTGGACCGGTGGTGCAAATGTGGAGAAACTTGAAGAAGGTGGCACATTCTGAGTTGATCCCAGAAATGAAGGCGGTGGTTGTGCAGTAACTGATGTTGTGCTTGAAGGTGGACTCCCAAAGGATGGATGCATCCTTGGAGGCTGAGAAGGAGTTCCAGATGATAACATTGCTGACAGAGGAGCTCCAGCTGGTGGCCTGCTTGGAGGAGGAAAACGTGGTCCACTCTGCATTGTCCCTGGACCAAATGCAGGTGGCCCATTACTAGCTGAACTAGAAACACCTGAAGGCGGCACAAGAAGACTTGTTGAAGCAGCAAAAGGTCCTGGCGGGCCAGCACGAGGACCTGGGGCTGAAGGCAAAGCACCAGGTGGCGGTCGAATGGCAGGACTACCAACAGAATGAAGCACTGCACCAGCAGGAGGTGGCCTAGATGCAAAGGACGGTGGAGCTTGACCCACAGAAGGAGAGACCATTGGTCTAGAAACTACATTCGGAGGCAATGTAGTTTGCGGAGGACCCCTTTGGAATGCACCAGGTGGAGGAGGTCCTGGACTATTCGCAGGCAGCCCACCAGCAAAAGAGGGTGGCTGCTGCCCAAAAGGTGTTGCACTAGGCCTAGGACCACCAGTAGGGTTTGTAGGTGGGTGGTTGGGTCTATTAATTTCCAAATGTTGCATTCCATGAGCAAGTACATCAGGATTGTAATTGGGTGGTACATTCCCTGGTCTAGGTCCCCCTGGAGCTTCCATCAATTATTAAACAAATTTCCCACCTAAATTCAAAAATCCCAAGTCATAAAAAAAAGGCAAAACCTCTGTCCAACAACCACTTCATCTCACACCGAAAACAAGAGAGATACACAACATGTGTTTGATATAAGAAAAACGTTTTCCACGAAAATTAACTTACCTTGTCTAATCATTTTTCAAGCATTTGCTTCAGTATAAAATAAAGTTACACATAACAATCCTAAAATCAGGAGAACATGTAAAGTAGCAAAGATTCAATTTTTGGTTATACTTTTACCCCACTATTTACAGAAAAAAAAACACTTTTTTTTGTGGAATACGATGTAGTATGGAAAAAAGAACTCTCACCAGCTCTCCGTCGACGGATTCTTCGCCGGCGGCAAACAAAAAAGGCGTTTCCGATGAACTGAACCGCTCCGGCGAATTCAAATAGTGAAATTTGGGAAGAAGGGAATTTGTATATTTACTTTTAGATTCCCGCAATATTTCACTTCCTTATATACTTCATTCTTTTTTTCAACTTTACCAAATAAAAAAAAAAAAATTGAAAATTAAAATTTGCGATTTATATGTGTATTAAAATTATATAGCTATAAATGGTCAACTATTTTTCAAATATGGTACTCCCACCGTCTCTATTTATTAGTCAAATATTTTTTAATTTGATTTATTTTTTTACTTGTCATCTTTAACGAATCAATAAAAGACAATCTATTTTTTCCTATTATATCTCTAATTTATTAATATTGAGTTAATATCTTTGAAAAATGTAGTGAAAAAATATATTTGATATACTATCAATTAATAGGGGTAAAATGGTAAACTCACTATATCAATCAATATTTTCTTAATAGGTAATTAGGTATGTCAAGTCAAAATTTTACTAGTTATATTTAGATAAGTTCTCCTTTAAATTTTCTGTTTAAACTACTATCACTAATTATTTATAAGAATACAGTTGAAATCAATGAGTCAGATGCTACATCGATGAAATTTTATGGACAAATTAAATTGTCACGCACATTTAGGTGATGGTATTCAAACACTTCTTCTAGTTCATGTTAAAAACGTAAACATCTCATAGTACGTATATAAAATACAAACAACTCATAGTGCAAATATAAAACTCACAAAATAATAATATTTCTATTATGTTTTTTACCATTATCTCAATATTATGTCTAAGAAGTAGCTACTGTTGTGAAACCAAAATTTGATAAACTTGTCAACAAGCTAATTGCTTGTTTGAGTATTGATACATAACATATTAAATGATTAATCATATAATATATATATATATATATATATATATATAAGAACATTAGACCCGCCTACGTGGCACCACCAGAATTCAGGATTCCCTTTTAATTTATTTATTTCCAAAACTAGTTTTCCCCTTTCATTAAAAAGTTGTGACTTTTATGAAAAGTTGCGATTTTTTTTAAGAGTTACAACTTTTTTGAAGAGTTGCGATTTTTATGAAAGGTTGTGACCTTTCTGATAAGTCACAATAAATATTTGTTCACACTACCCTTTGTTGTTTATAAATAGAGGAATTTTCTCTCATTTTAAAAAACAAAAATTCTGAACTACTACTTCTTCTTCTTTTGCACAATTAAATATTCGTGTACTTTGCTCCTGTTGAGTGACTCACTTCACCATTGTTTTTTTGTATCAATACACTGGTGAATAGAATTGTCCTATCCTGAGATGATCTATTCCTTTAAACCTCGGGTACTAGAAGGGAATAATTTTCTTAATAGTACACTATGCATTTAGTGGGCTCAATTTTTTCCTTTCCGTTTCATTCTATTGTTACAGACTTACAGATCCTGGTATTTTTTTTTACAATCATTAATTTATGTTTATTTTATTAATTGTTGTTTTTGAGTATATCTTTTAAACTTTGTTGTTTATGTTTTTTCAAAGTTATTGTTACAAGTATTTGTTAGTACAAATTAAATAACACACGTTAAATGAGTATTCATGCAAGTTTTCTCTACTAAAATTGTTGAAAGTAGAGTAAAAGAATTTCTTAAAGATCTGTACTACCATCTCTTGAAGACAAAATTCAAATTTGGTATGTCATTGTAAACACATAAGGATCTTAAAAACCTTTATCGCACCTTGATGTGCGAAGTGAACCAGGAAAAGAAAACAAAAATTAATAAACTTTTGACATAAGTTTAAGGATGTGTTGGATGACCTATAGAGGAATATGACTAAACTGCAACATCTTTTAATCCCCAAAAAATAGATCACTACACAATAAATTAATTGCTCATATTTAATATGAAGTATGAACAGATTTCTCAAGTTTACTGCAAGTTGTAAATACTTTTTTTGAAGTAATAAATGTGTTTTCGACATTGTGATTGGATTAGACGTGTAGTTTCAAATTGAACTTCATCACTCTGGTATGTTGATTTTTAAAAAACACTCAAACAAACTAAATAGTTTTGTGTAATATTTTTCCCTTTCAAATATATATAATAAGTTCAATTGTTGTCCAATATGATACATTTTCCCTTTATTTTTCATTTTATTAATTACTTATGATACATTTAAAAGTGATATATGTAAAACAAAAGGTAGTGCTAAACTTTCTATACGTTAGAATTATAATATTTGTTCACTTTTTTCAACCTTTTACAATTTATTTATCTCTACACCATCGATTATTTATTTATTAGAATATTTAATATTTCCGGTTGATGCATTTGATTCCTGGAAGCAAAATGATAAATTATAAAATCAAATTAAAGACGATTGATTGAAGGATAAATGATAAGATATTATAATTATCACTTCCTTTGTAGTGTTTTACTTTAAATAACTAATGGGTTATAAGTATTATTTTATAAATTCCGTAACATTAAATTTTCGCGCGAAACGCGGGTAATTTTACTATACATATATATAAAAGTATGTTTCAGTGGCAACATTAGTCGCTACTAATGCTGATAATAGTCGCCACTAAAAGTATGTTTTGGTAGCAACATTAGTTGCTGTTAATGCCTATAATAGTCGCTACTAAAAGTGTGTTTTAGTAGCAACTATCGCTGCTAATGCCTATAATAGTCGCCACTAAAAGTATGTTTTAGTAGCAACAATAGTCGTTGCTAATATTTATAATAGTTGCCACTAAAAGAATGTTTTAGTGGCAACTTTAGTCGCTGGTAAAGTTTATAATAGCCGCCACTAAAAGTATGTTTTAGTAGCAACATAGTCGCTGCTATTGCCTATAATAGTCACCACTAAAAGTATGTTTTAGTAGCAACAATAGTCGTTGCTAATATTTATAATAGTTGCCACTAAAAGAATGTTTTAGTGGCAACTTTAGTCGCTGGTAATGCTTATAATAGTCGCCACTAAAAGAATGTTTTAGTAGCAACATAGTCGCTGCTAATGCCTATAATAGTCGCCACTAAAAGTATGTTTTAGTAGCAACAATAGTCGCTGCTAATGCATATAATTGTCGCCACTAAAAGTATGTTTTAGTGGCAAAATTAGTCGCTGCTAATACCTATAATCGTCGCCACTAATAATTTGTTTTAGTGACAAGATTCACAGCCGCTAATACCTATAATAGTCGCCACTAAAAGAATTTTAGTGGCAAAATTAGTCGCTGCTAATACCGATAATAGTCGCCACTAAAAGAATGTTTTAGTAGCAAAATTAATCGCTGCTAATACCAATAATAGTCGCCACTAATAGTTTATTGTAGTTTCAAGATCTCACTTGTACAAAACTTTCGTCCTTTTAATGTTTTTCTTTTTTTCTTTCTCATTCAACTCTTCTAAATATTTTTGGTGTGAGTTATGACTATTTTCGGCAAGCTTAATTTGAAGAATATGAAACAAAATATGCTCTAAATAAAAGTAATATTTTAAGCTACAAAAGATATGTCTATTAACATAAATTTGTTGTCCTTTATGTCCCAAGTTATTATTGAGCATTTGAGTTATCTAGGTTAGATTCATTTTTAATTTTTTAATGTTCGAGAATATTTCTTTAACATGAGTCTAGAATCCAATATTTTGATCTACTTGTAATTTTATAATGAAACAATTATATATACATATTTCTGAAAAAGTCGTAAAATTACATTGATGAAGCATCTAGAAAGGCCTTCAAAGCAACAGTTTAATAAAGAATGAATTTCTAAAAGTATCAACAATATTATTTTGTGGTTGTTTCAAATTAATTTTTCTCCTTCTATAAATTTTGTTAGAGTAACAAAGTAACAATAACGATAAGTAGTGAACGTTTGACCTCAGACAAATAGATTGTCTCTAAAAAAATTTATTTATATTGTTGTGGTGTACATTTTTAACGGTCTTAACTTATTTATAACTAAAATTGATTATCGAAAACTATTACATAATTTATTTTTTTCACAAGGAGTTATTCTAACCAAAAAATTATCAAATTCTATATTTTTCATGTACAAAAAAATAGAAAAAGTTATGTTTAATCGCTACATAAAAACATTACTCAGTTTTAACAACACAATTATGTAAAAGATAAAAATGATTAGATCTCAAGATTTTTTAAATCATTCAGTATATATTTACAATTCTTTAGATATGTGATAATATCAAATCATTTAATTTCTGTTGAAATGTTTTTAAAACCTACTAAAATTTATTTATTTTCTTATAACAGTCGATTATTGGAAAAGTTGTTCAAGTCGATTATTGGAAAAGTTGTTCAAAAGTTTAGAAAGATTATTTATGTCCACGCAAAGCGTGGATAAATTACCTAGTTTTCATAATATAAAGTCTTAGAAATAGTCCGACAAATTTGTTGTTTACGTTTTTAGTTAGTATACATAGATTATACACTTATTATATACAATTAAACATATATTATATATTTCTCAACTATTTTTAATTTAATTAGTTTGGTAGACAATTATTTAGGCTGATTTTCCAAAAAAAACAATTAGATTCGTCTAAACTCATAACTAATATATATTTACAAATTGAGGGGTTGCTTGGTTTAGTGATAAGTTACGCGGGAATTAGCAACGCAGTGATTAATAATACGAAAATATAATGCATGAATTTGATATATTAACTACCTAACTACAGAAAAATTAGTGTTCATTGTCTCATCAGTTTACAACTTGGTCTACATAGGCCTTGTTCCTGATGCAAAAATGGTCTTTTTTTGCTAACAGGGAAGGTCATGATAAGCTCGGAGGTAGAAGTAAGATCTCTGTCTTGAGAAAAAAACTTGAGGGGTCTGGATTAAGATCAATGGTGAGCGACACGGATGACCTGTTTACCCATGTTCCGTCCAGAAAACAGTCCAACAAAGGCAGAAGGACCACTCTCGAGGCCTTTGTTCATGTCTTCTAAGTATGTAATCTTTCCCTGCTTGTACAAGCTAGTAACGTCTTCAAGAAATTGCGGAAATAGATGTAGATAATCGCTCTGAAGAAAGCCCTGCATCTTAACGCGCTTAGTGATGA